GAGGGAACTGTACAAAGGAAGTACAAACAGTGCACATCGTGTCAGGGGTGCGAACCGGCATGATAGATAAAAATTCATATCATCCTAAGCACACTCACAACAGTGTGTGCCAAAGGACTTCCTTTTCTTGCTGGTCTTTAAACCGTTGACACTGATATTGTGTACTGTCTAGCCATTGTTTTTATGTCTTTATTTCCTCTTCATCTTGGTTACTGTTTTATCTGTGTGCTACCTGACTAATGATTCTCTCTGAGCAACCAATCACTTCATCTAACAAATTTCAAACAAACAATGAAGCTATTTTATGCAGGTGTTTTTTAGGTATCCTCCCAGCAGTATTGCAGGTATGGGTAGTGAGTGCATGTGTATAGATATAAAATATCTTTTTGAGACATTAGTTTATTAACGTTAGAAATGTCTTCAGGTTAGAGGACTATGTTCAGGTTGTTTGGATAATGGCTGTGAGCTTTCAGGGTTTATAAGAGGAAAAGTGGTAGATTACTGCGACACAGAGCTGCTTGGAAAGTATCCAGTAAAAACTTGAACCTTTTCCAGGAAAATAGGCTTTGAATGTGCTGACTATAACAAGGGAGCATTAGACGCGAATTTGTTAGTGGGTTTATTATCACATTTTACTTTAAATTTGATCTCTTAAGATGTGTTGGGAAAAGAATTAAGCTAAGCATCAATATTTAGAATTGCAGTTGTAAAAATTAGTGATACTGAGATAAGAACCTTTTGCAAAGCCTTTTTACCCATTTGTTTAGACGTGGCTTTGGAGTTATTTTACTCCTTACTGTAGAATGCCTAGAAGAATATACAGAAAATTAATAAAAACCCAAACAGATTAGTAGCAACCAGATGTTATCTTTATTTGACATGTGTTACTATGTCTTGAAAGATTTACTTCATTTTTTACTACTGAGCTAATTTAAATGATCGTCTTCCTGAACTCTTTATCAAAGAGAATGCAGTCTTCTTTTTTGGCTTCTTCTGATGGTTGGGTTTACCCTTGTTCTTATGTTTTTAGGTGTTGGGTGGTTCTTAAAAACATTGCAATCTATTTTGCAATTCTGTAGGGCATATTTCATGGTATCTAACCGTTGCTGTTTTTATTTTTAAATAGTTCTGGAAAATTTACAGCATAATAAAGCCTGGTGTACTGCCTTTGCAAGTTTTCACCTATTATGCATTGATGCTGAAAATGTACGCTTTACTTTACGCATACTGTAGTCAACTGTGATGGGATTGTCTAAAGTTAACCACATGCTAAGAGTTCATAAATAACATGACTAAGGATAACAAATTAAAGAGAAGATGGAGGAGTGGGAAGTGAAAGCATTACAGCAACATCAAAAAAATTATGTGGTTGCTCAGTTGGCTCATTTTCAGGCTTTCCTTGCAAGTTTTTAAATTGTGTCAGATTTTATGATCTAAATTCATGGTGCAGACAGAAACAAATGTAAACTTTCTTCCACAGTGGAATATTTCTGTGTGGGGAGAATATCTGTCAGTTGTCTTACTCCTCCAAATCTTTGACATTTTCATGACTAGAGGAGACCACTTTTTTTTTACCACTTTGTAGCACTAGCCTGATGCCCAGTGGGTTAAGGAATTGTCCACGTTTTTAAAACTTTCCCTGTACCCAAGCAGCTGCATACAGACCGCCCAAGAATCTGATGCTCACCAGTGACACCCATGGGCAGTGGAAAAGCAAAACCAAGCTGTGAATGTCATGGGCATTTTAATATAGTAATAGATTTCAAAGGTCTGGAAATGGCAGTTAGAGATGCACTGTCACTTTGTCTTTACCTTCTTGAGTGTGCCTAGTAGCAAGCAGCGCCAAATTATGTGATCATACCCTTTTTTTTTTTTTTTCCTTTTGCTCTTTTATATTCTGAGAGAAAATGCCTGCCCAGTGTTTTACTTGAATTCTTGTCATTTCTGTTTTCGGACCAGTGCCTCACTTTCACCATAGAATGTTGCTTATTGTGTTGGAGGAGCTCATAGTCCTTTCCTCTACCAATGCCACCCTCGTCCAGGATCCTCCTCCTGTTGTTGAACTTTCCATCCTACCCCAGACTAACAACATGCATAATGTTGTCCATGTCTGTGTGGCACAGACACGTGGGGCTGTACTGGAATTTTGGGTCTTAGCTTAGATTTATTTAACAGTCTGGTTTTCATACCAAAGTGTTTTCTTTGTGCCATTACAATGTGACTAAATGGCACCAAATTTCTGCTGTATCAATGAATGACACTTTTGGGACTGGGGGGCCATGTTCTTTCCAGATTTCATGTTCCCATCATTTTCCATGGAAGAGCTTGTTCTCTTCAGAGAAGTCCTCCGTGGCAGGAAGGCTGTGGATTTGAGCTTTTTTTTTTTCCTACTCTCTCCAGTTATTTTCAGAGCTCTCTGCAATTCAACTTGCAGTGAAAACATGTTGATTCTTGGCCCAGAGGGACTGGGCCAACCATACTGGTTTGGGTGATCTCAAGCTGCTAGGCACTGAGGTATCATTACGCATGCTACTCTTAATGCTCGTATGATGTCTGGGAGGCATTAACGATGTTTGGTACATCCAAGGTGCAGTCTGTGCTGCTGTCCCGCTGAGCTATGTAGAGAGGTTCCCAAGAAAGAGCAGTAAAAAAAGGGGGGATGAATTTGCAGTGCAGTTTTCTTCAAACTCTTCTGAAACCATCCTGTATCCACAGAGGGGGTCATTTAATGCAAATTGAATAGGTCAGTAGGCAGATCTGTAGAGTACTGTGCAATGAGCGTCCCTTTTCGGGTACACTTTGGTTGGTTGATAGTGAAATAGTTAACACGGGGAACACCCTGTCGTTGATATTCTCAGGCTTTTCTCAAAGCCTTTGCTTCAAGCCACTGGCAGATTCAGGCAGACATTTTGCAGTGGTTAATAGCATGTTCATGAACAGAAACGGGAAATTCCTTGTTTAAAATAAGACTCCAGAACACAGATTATTTTGTCCATTTCTTTTCTTTCTCTCACTGTCTCCTCCCACCCCAGATCAGGCATGCCAGATTGTTCCTTTGGAGTAAGGCAGCCCCTTTAAACGCTGAAGCTGAACAATACACTGTTGGCTCTTGCTTCATTTCGTTGTAGTTAATTTAAAATTCTGAGAAACGAAGCATCCTGCCATAAAGCATCAAACAAGCAAAATGTGTTTGATACTTTCTATAAGAAGAAGCATCTGCTGGAATGACATGGGTTCGCAAGGAGGGAAAGGACTGAGCCTTCCCTCTTCCACCTGGAAGAATTTTCTTTCTGGTTTTCTTTTTTTTTTTTTTTTTTTGTCCCATGTTTTTTTATTTTTTCAAATTTTTTTTCTCACCTTCCTTTTGGACTGTTCCCCTCCTTTCCCTGGCACTGATCTGGGTCAGATGCAATGTACGTGCCACTGCCAGTCTGATTCCACTGCCTGGGTTGTATTTCCAAGAGTAAGAGAGGATCTGTACTTTCACGGGGGGGTACTGAGGGTCTGTACTGAGGTACTGACACACTGTGTGAGTGCAGTGTGCCGCACGCGTTACCTAGCGTGCTGTTATGTGACTCGCAGCCTTTTACTTTCAGCTCACACTTATGTAAAGATTCACGCTGGGGGGCGGGGGGGGAAATCAAGTGAACAGCATATTGTCTCTTGATTGATTAAAGAGCTGGGTTGCGAGGTGGGAAGTGAATTTAAGTTCAAATGAAACACAAACAAAAGTAGGACTTGAATCTTCACAATTAGGGATTTAAAATGGAATGTTTCCGTGCAAAGCAAGTTAAGTTTTTATTTCTTCTTCTTCCAAAGTCCTGTATACAGACGTGCAGGGGGGAGAGAGCAATCCTAGAGGACTTCTGCTTCGATTTACCCTGAGCCTTGAGCAGTGACTGCCTGAAAACAAAAAGAAAATTTCAGAGCTAATCTAGTTACTGTATGCACAGAAATTAGTTGGAGAGTTAGTGGGCAAGGCTTAGACCTGAACAGATCTCTCTTGGGATATATTTAACATAACTTTTTCACCTGTTTGTTTTGTTGTTGTGTTGGTTTGTTTTCCCCGCCTGCCTTCCCATTGAGTAGCAACAAACAATCTACCTACCCCACAACAGTGGGGTATAGTATAGCACAGAGCTCGATGCAGCCCTGGTTGAGGTCAAGCACTCCAATTCGAACCTCTCAAGGGCTTTCTCTATGTGTTGCCAGTGTACTGGTAAAAATGACTTTAAACTCTTGTCAGCGCAGTTACTGGTGCATGCATCACAGTCCCACTCAAATAAACCTGTCACAACACAGAGTCAGCAGCTAGAGAAGAGTACAAGGGCAGGCCTCTAGCTTTTCATTCGAGCATCACTAAACGTGCACAGAGTGCCCAATTATTTCAGCATTATTGAGCAAGCCTACAGGAGGACCCAAGCCTTGCTACATTAGATTTTCTTTAGTAATTTGCTCAAGTACCGCTGAGGACACTTAAAGGGCTTAAAACGGTGGCTGCAACCAGTTTCCTTTTCTGGATTGTTAATTCAGGTTTTCTCTTTCAAATTAACTCTCACTGCATGCTGTGCAGTAGCGCTGGGAGAACTGTTTAACACTAATTTTCTCAATTTTCAGCTCTTTTTTTTTTTTTTTTTGCATTATATAACTGCTTTTATAGTTATATATGTTTTGATTAGACATGTATGTAGTGCGTTTCTGCTAGAAAGAGTAAAACATAATACCACTGTTAGAGAAATAAAAATTTCACCCAAACTGTAAAATTACTTTTCCTTTTTTTAAATTTTTTTTTTTGTTTTTTAATTCCACCTGAAGTTTACCGATTGTGCTGTGTCCAAACATACGGACATTTTTTAAAACACCAGGATGTTTGTGAGAGCTGATATCTGGATCGATCAGATGCACTGGTTGATCTGATCAATCAGGTTTGATGTATAGGATCAATCAGACAACCCTCGGCACCCCGAACAAATTCAATATCTGTGTTTCATTTTTCACAGCAGCAACAACTCCAGGCCCAGCATTTGTCACATGGACATGGTCTTCCCGTGCCGCTCACTCCGCACCCCTCGGGCTTGCAGCCTCCAGCCATCCCTCCCATTGGCAGCAGTGCTGGTCTCCTGGCACTGTCCAGTGCACTGGGAGGGCAGTCCCACCTCCCAATTAAAGATGAGAAGAAGCACCATGATAACGATCACCAAAGAGGTAGGTGCTACCCATGATGAGTGTGTGGCTTCATTCGTTTTTTTCTTCTTTCCTTTTTCTAAAAATCTCATCTTTAAAAAAAATAAAAAAAGGGGAGGGGAGGGCAAAAAAAAAAAAGGAATTTTCAAAACAAGTCCTAGCTAATTGCTTCAGTATTTATTACCTAGCGGTAGCCAGAAATTGTGTTCACATGCTAGAAATCCAGTTTTATAAATCTGGCTGTACAGTATTAATAATTAACTGTACAGAAAAGTTAACATCTGTGCGATTTATTATTTAACAGACATCAGGATTCTTTCTTCCGAGTATGATAAATGTATAATTTTATGTAAACTAACTAGTACTTTTCTCTTTCTCTCTCCCCCACCTCCCCATCCCCCACCACCACTTCCTCTCCTGCTTGCGCATGGGGGCTGCTCTGCGTGCAGACAGAGACTCCATCAAGGTAGGACTCCATTTCGCAGATGTAAGGAAGGGGTGGCTTGAAAGAGCTGCGCGCTATGTTTTTCTGAAGTGTGGCCCAGAGTGGTGGAAAAAGTCGCAAAGTGACAGCGGGTTGTGAAGCTGGTGTTGATGAGCGGAGCCCCGCGTAGACTGTGTATCGCACTTAGGAAGTGGCTAGTAGCGGGGCAGCAAGGACCGCAGGCGACATGCCATCCAGTGGGTTTGGTGGAGCAGCATTGAGGCTGTTCCTGGCTATAAGGAGAGGGCTGCCCGGGGTCTCTGCCCAAGCGTATAAGACAGAAAGAATTAGCCAGTAGTTTTAAGTCATTTGGAGGCTGCAAACTGTAATTCTGATATATCCTAATAGTGCAGTTATGGAAGGAGAGCTCAGTCACATGCAGGTGAGACGTGGGCTGCTGCCCGCTGTCCTTGCCGAAGCAGCTGGAGAGGAGTGAGCTGCCGTTCTCAACCCCAACAGAGGTGGTACGCACACTGAGGATCCTGCTTTCCTTTTCCAAAAGTTGATTTTCAGGCTGTGATGGACTCTGCAACGTATGTACGTGTGTTCACCATGCCATGCGTGGTAGCGTTTATTAGTAGATGTAACACACAGATTGGGGCTCATGTAATTATGACCATTTGGTGACGAGTGCGATTCAGCATATGTGTCTGGATGCTTGTCCACACGGGATAGACACCAGTGTCTCTCAGAGGCTCCTGGGGTTTTAATGCTGCAGTGGGGAGGTGCATCTTGGTTGTCCCCTCTCCTGGATCGTTCTGCTCTCCTCGCTGCCGCTGGCTGTTTACCAACTTGATGCAGACCTAGTTGTTGCCAGCTACACAGTTACCTGCCTGGCTCTGGGTACCCGGATGGAGTTACAGAGTAGAGCCTGAGCAGCTTGCACAATTTTCAGGAGTATCAGATTAAGCCTTTTTAGGTGATGGTGAGTGTGACATGAAAGATGCGCTACTTTTACAAAGGGCAAGACCTGTACCCACCTTCTTGTGCACGTACAACCAAATTGTCAAGTTTTTAGTAGCGCTTTTTTTAGGAAGATGTAATTTACTATTGGTGTTGGCCAAATGGCAGAAGATGTGTTACCAGGACGAGTCTTGGGTTCATTAGACAAGATTACCAGGACCTTGCCAGGCAGACGTTACTGGCATTCCCTAGACGGTGCCGGGAGCAGCACGGTGGCGGACACTGGCTTTGCTCCCACCGGAGACCCATCTAGCTAGGGCTGCCCCTGCGAGGGGCTGTGCCTTTGCTTCTCCAGCAGCTCCAGGTGGGGAGGTGTCCCTCAGCCTTCCCCAGCGGGCCTGTGCTGCCGCTGGCATCTCTGCCACGTCCCAGCCCACTGCAACTGAGCCGACGGTTGTCAGTTTTGCTGTTACCCACATGGCTCCGCATAACAACCAGGAGCTGACAGGAACTGTCAGTTTTTACTGTGAGCGGCAAAGGCACCGAAGCTGTCTATCTGCCGACACAGGACAACAGCGTGTCGGATTTCACTTCAGCTTCCCTTGTCATGAGGTCTCGAAACTGGGATTACTGCTTTATGCGGTGAGGCTGGGCGCAGGTTAATGGTGATTTCCCTAGAACATCCCCTGTTCGCTGTGATCAGATATGGTTTAGTCCATTGTCTGTTTTCCTGCACTCAAATCACAGAGTCACAGAATGGTCAGGGTGGGAAGGGACCTCTGAGGATGATCTAGTCCAACCCCCCTGGCCAGAGCAGAGTCACCTACGGCAGGCATAGGTGAACAAGTACAAGTAGAGCGGATACCTAAATGTGGGAGTACCAACCCACCTGGTTTCTACAGCGATTTTGCACACCCGTACAGTTGGAACCACGAGCGTTTCACTCAAGAAGGTGAATGAGGAGAACTGCTAGTACATGCCAATCGCTGTTTTTAAAACAAAACAGCTGGTTGTGTTTCTGTACCGTCTGTGGGATGTTGGGGTGTTTATGCTGGCATGGGTGTTACGGGGAGTGTTTATACCAAAAAGGCTGATTTTTGTCTGGGAGTGATTCAAAGGCACTGTTATTCATACAGCTTGGAGAGGGAGAGGAGGGCGTCGCTACTTTGTGCCAATTTACTTTGAAATGATAAGTAGAATGTTTGTCTTGCACAGTGTTCAGGTTGTGAGTTGGCTTGTGTGTCAGCGTTACGGGGCTTGCTGCCAGCTTTGCAAGGTGAAATAGTTTGTTAATTTCCTTAAATGTTTTCAGTGATGCCCAGAGTAGCAGTTAGTCGCTTGTTCGATCGATCTGTCCTCCCTTAAGTGGCTCCTGGTTAAGAGAGGCTTTTTATGATTGTCTGCTGTGTGACTTGAGATGGTTTTTGTCAGCCAGAACGTGCCAGTTGCCAGCAGCTGGAGTCTGTGTGCTTGTATGAAATAATTTATTCATGCAGGATAATGCTCCTTAACATTTAACAGGTAATGAACGTGACATAAATTTCCTTCTTGCTTTTAATTTTTCCCTTTCCTCTTCTAATGTGCAAACAGGCAGCTCTGGTACTCTAAATAGTAAGTAATTTTTGGCCATCTGTCAAAAGGAAATTTCAATACAAATTTAAATTAATGGTGCCTGAAATTTTTTATAGCTCCTCTAAAAGCCTCTAATGTGCAGAAAATTCTGAATCTGCTGGTAGTAATTAGTGTAGCATGTAATGAGGATATGGGCAATGTTATACAGCCCCAGTGTAACGTTTTGATATGGTAGCAAAATTTTGATTTATACAAGGTTGTGCCTGGGTTTAATTGTGAGAGACACTTTAAAGTGTTTTCTTGCTGATACAGATTATTAAGCAGGGCAGATTTTAGAATAGCTCATAAAGTGTAAATTTACGCTTTAGTGTACGATTCAGATAATGAAGGTACCCTACCCTACAAAGAAAGGAGTTTGGCTGAAGTGTCCTGTTCCTTGCCACCACTTCCAGCCCTTTGGATTTAGTGGGCTGTTGTCTTCGTGAAACTTGCTGTCTCTAGCTGTGCTGGTCCCAACGCTCCTCCTGGTTCAGGCCAGGGAGAAGGCAGTTTGCATCACCCTTCTAAACATGACGTTTTCTGCCCAGTAAGCCAGACGGGGCTCGCATCCATCCCAGCATCTTCCCGGAGCGACCAGTTCACTGCTGAAACCGAGTAGTCGCCTTCCAGATTAACACGAGGTTGCCCAGGAGCTATTCCTGAATAACAGATCAGCCTCAGCACAGCAAGCTCTGTGGAGAAGTGCGGCTTTGGGAGCTCTTTGGTTTCGTGTTGGATTCAGTCCCCCGAATCCTTTGCAAAGTCCGAAGTGTGGGAAAACTTTAGAGGCGGTAAAGTGGGTCACGGGAGCGCTCTTTGTGCGGCGGCAGGGCTGCCGGGCAGACAAAGGGGAGGGAAGGGTGGCAAGCGCCAGGGCTGTGCTCAAAGTGCAGCCCTGGCTTACGGGCTTGGGGGGAGTATAATGTGTTTAGACAGAAAGACGAACAGCTCTGCAGTTAACCGAGCAGCTTTTCACAGAGGACTTGGTATGTCCGCTTTTCAAAGCAGTAAAACTTCTTTTTTTTTTTTTTTTAAAAAAAAAGGGGGGGGGGCTAATTGCACCCCGCAAGGATTTTTCCACCTCCTGCAAGAACTGCTGATGCAGGAGGCATGTCGCTCTTCCCAGCCCTGGTACCCTCTCTGGGACAAACATGGAAAAAGTTTCTCTGGTCCCTGACAAAATCCCTTCTGTAAAACGCGCCCTGTGAAGAAGCTACGGAAGCATTTAGTGTGCAAAAGCACCACCTGGCAGAAAATAGTCTACGGCTATCAGTCTCCTCCCATGGCTCTCGCTGTGGCAGGCGGTGGGGGAAAGGGCCCCGGGCGCGGG